GTAATATAAAAATAATAGGTGTTATAGGAGAAAATACTAAAATAATTAATAGTGTTGATAAAGTTAATATAATTCTTGGAAATAAACAAGTAACAATAAATAAATTTATAAATATGATAAATTAGAATTTGACATATTATTAGGAAATGATTTCGTACAACAATTTTAATATTATAAATAAAATAATTATATGATAATATTACAAACACCTTGTAGACACTTATTAAAAATTTCTAGAAAATTTAAATCTTATAGAGCTCAGCCAACCCAACGTGATGATAAATGGGAGAAAAAATCAATTCTTAATAATGAAACAAAAAATAGAAGAATATTATATAAGAAGGTTTTAAAGACAGGAATAGAAATGAATACAGAAAAAATCATTGAACAATTAGAAAAGGTTTATGGAGAAAATCCATTATTATTTTGGAAACCACATCACCCAAAAATCAAAATAGAATTAACAAAAAATGTTATAATAAGAGTAAGACCAATGATGTATACAATAAAAGATACACAAGAATTTAAAAAATAAACAATATATTGGACCCACCATTTAGGTCCCATTTATTAATACAAAATTACAAAAATAATCAATAATTTACTCATAATTTGATTAATTAATTGTTTATTTATTCGGCGGTTTCAAAATGTAAAATTTATTTATTTATTCTTGAAAATATTTTGTAGACACTTTTTTGACTCCGTACGCAAGTTGAAACCATAAACAAGCGACAAGAACAAAAAACATGGATTTAACTTTTTGTAATATTATATGAGAGATATCTTGGAAATTATAGTGTACTAAGCTATGTTCACGTTAATGCCAAATGATCATATTAGTTGTCTAAATATGATTAGTTATTGTTAATTATCAGACCTACTCCCGTGTGGGATCTTCATCCAAGGCTTAGTACCGAACTTTGACGTTATATATAACTTACGTGTCATGAATATGAATCGAAATTGAGAGAGATACAATTATTTATTAAATATAAATTATATAATTTTTATTTTTTATGTGGTAAGATTTGTGAGTTTTCCTACAATTTTTAGGAGTTGCTTACAAACTATTTAATTTATAAATGATTTAAAAACATTAGTCAAACATCGAAATTAAGTACTAAATACTAGATCATAAATTATGTGGCAAGCGTTATGATTTTCTCAATAATGCTTTGGATTTATACAAACTTCATTATGTGGCAAGCATTTTGATAAGGACTGTAAATGATCGAATATGGACCAATTTTACCTATATTCGATCCAATCAGATAAAAAATAATTCATGGATTCAATTCGATAATTCAGTGGATATTTAATTGTTAAATTCCTATCTAATTTGTTATTTTATCGGAAATTGGATCAATAATTTGATCCGAAATATTTTATACATTTTTTTTATTGAAAAGAGGGGATTACCAATTTCAATAAAAATTTATTGTAATATGTATTAACTTTGTATTAGAATTTGATAGGTTTGCATTCTTCATTAAAATCATAAAGGATAATACAAATTTCGAAATGAAAAAATTATATGTAATAAATTATGCAATAATATATAAAATATATTATATTATTATAATAAATTAGATCGAATTAATGATCATTTGATTTCCTGTAAGTGAATGAGATCGTGAACAAATAATAACTAATGAATAGAGTGCCGAACTCATGAGTATTACATATTTGATTGAGTTAAAATTAATTGCAACTTTAATCGAATACGAAACAAGTTGTTGCATTTTTTCTAACTAATATCTAAATTATCAATTAAGCGAGAAAGTGATTTAACGAGTTTTTAAAAAAAAAAATGTGAAGCTATTGCTAAGATGTCGAATCCCTATTTTTTTTTATTTTTTACTTTTAGTGTAACAATTGAATTGATAATTTGAAATTATTCATGTTGGTCAATGTTCCTAATTTAATTGAAAGCATCCCTCGATAACGATCAAATATATTCCCCTCATATGGCTCTTTTATCTCTTGATGAAAAATGTAAGCATGATAAATGCATTAACAAACGTTAAAACACCTATTGAAACCATATAAAGCAAAAAGGAATGTCAATATCTTCTATCGAACTTTACAATGTTTATTATATTGTACTTAAATCATGTTGTTTCTCTTGATAATAATAAAATTCATTAACAATTCAATTGGTGATCATGCAATTGAAAAGAACGATAAAAATGATAATAAATATCCATAAATCAAACCAAATTAAAATCATAATAATTGATTAAAACTAAAAATATCATAACAAGAGTTCATCCCATCCTAACAATGTATAAAACTAGCCTAACATACTAAAATTACAAAAAATCATATTTAAGGGTTCGTTTGATTGTAAAGATGGAATTTGGATGGAAAGAAAATGAATTAAAGGGAATTGAATTGCCTAGAATTTGTTTTAGTGAGAATTGTCAATTAAGTGTTTAATTGTTATAATTTTGCACCTGAAAAATGTTAAAATAAATATATCTTTTAGTGTTCGTTTGACTTTATTTTTCATGAAAATTATCAATTTAAGGGATATCTACTTCTACAATTGTTCCTAGAATTTGTTTATATTGCCATAAATAAATAAAAAAAATTCAAAAATAATATATATTTTGATGTTCGTCTAACTTTATTTTACATGAAAATTGACAATTTAAAGGGTATCATCTTTTACAATTATTCCTAAAATTTGTTTCCATGGCCCAAATAAATAAATAAATAAAGTAGAAAACATAAAACCACATACCCCATTGGAAAATGAATTCTCCAAAAACTAAGAATTGGCGCACGTGTCAGGCAAAGGTGGAAAATGAATTGATTGGATAATTTTGGCTATTGAACAAGCCAAAAGTGGGAAATGAAATTTGTTTTCCATTTTTCATGTAAAAAATTGGACTATCAAACATAGCCTAAGTGAAAAGATATAATATGAATCTTTGATAAATTGAAAAGATGAAGATGAATATTGAAATCTTGAATCTTTTCAATAGTTTCCCGATGAATTTCACCTTGTACATTGTCTTCTTTGCCCAAAAATCAAGTTTGAATATCCACTTGATTTAATTCTTGTAAGTTTCTTTCAATTCTCTCACAAAATCTATGAATTTTCCTCTGATGATAATAATTGAAGAGTATTAGAGTATAATATATACACAAGAGATGTAGGCGATGTCCTTTAATGTATTCTGCTGTTAGGTATTTGTAGGAATCGAAAATTGGTTTAAAATCACGTGAAAATTGGTTTCCAAAGGAGTTCTAATCAAATAAGGAAAGTTACATTTGAAACTATTTTTCTGATAAAAAAAAACGTAATCATTAAGTAATATCCCAGTAAGAATACTTATAACGTAAGAGAGAGGCATGTGTTACCACCCACAATTATAATCCTAACATGCAAGGAACAACTAAAGCTAGCAACGATTGGTGGGGACTAAGCTACCTCAGGAGCCTACCAACTAAGCTCAGCTTGCTTGGGACATTGCCTAAAAGTTGGCTCATGCCGCCAAATTGGATCTGCTTGTGTGCTATTTGTTTTTCATAGGGATGTCAATTGGGCTCATCGACTCGGGTCGTTCGCAGTTCGATATGAAAAAAATCCGAGCCGAGTCCAATTGTGAGGTTCTGGGCAAATCCTGAGCCGGCCTGTGTGGCTCGGGCTTTATTAAACAAAAAAAAAATAAAAATAAAAAAATGAGCCAACTAGCGACTGCCTTATTTTAAGGCAGCTAGCTGCTGCCTTTGCCATATACTAATAAAAAAAAGAAAGAAAGAAAGAAAGAAAAAATCAAGTCGAAAGCTCCAGTCGAACCTTTTATTTTGCTGAACTTTTGCTTGGCTCAGGCTCGAAAACCGTTTGATTTTAGCTCGCGAGCCTGCTCGACTCAACTTGAATCATTGACATCCCTAATTTTTAGTAGTATTAACAGGTCTTAAGTATTTTGCTCAATTGCTTTAATTGAGCCTCTCGTGCTGCTTATGAAACTCAAGAGCCTTTGAGGATGGGCCGGACTCATTCCCCATGTAGAAATTGAAGCTTCGAGCATCCCATCAGAATACAACCCAAATCGCTGACCGCCCCTACTTAAATGCAAATTAACAATATGCTACTACTAAAATTATTTATATCATATTCAGTATTTTAACTATTAACATTTTAAAAATATATATTAATTCATGATGAGAGTAAAACAATAAATGAATGATGGGGAAATTAAAATGAAAAGCAAAAATAAAGAATTCTGTTGGACTGTTTAAAAAAAAAAAATACTCTTACAATATGAAGATGTTCTCTATTGTAATCAATTTGTCTTTTAAAAACAAAGAGTCGTGAAGATGCTCTTAAAATTGGACTTTGATAGAGAATTTTTCTATCCTAGCTTTTCAAAATAAATATTAGGTTTGGCGAGTCAAACTTACTCCATTTTTTCACTTTATAATAATTGCATTTAATAAACTACATTTTTCAATACTCTATTTCTTAAATTATCCAAATATTTTTTAAATTGATTGAACACTAACCAATGAAAAAATAGGTTTAATTGAAAGGTAAAAAGAAATTAATAAATATTATTTTTTTAAAAAAAAACGAGAAGTCAAAATAGATAATATTGTTGGTGTGTATAAAAAAAATTATTTTCTAAATTTAAAGATGATTTCTATTATAAAATAATATGCTTTTTAATTTAACTTTTTGAGATTAGATTTGACTCTCTAGTTGGATCACATAATTTCTAAATTGATTTTTTACGAAAGACCAGAGATCACCTATATTTATAATGTAATAGACTTCTCTACATGCCTCTTAACAACCAAACCATATGCATATACCAACAATCTACTGACATTCACTAAATACTTTCTAATACAAGATAACTATATATAATGGCCTTGTTTGAGCCACTTTAATATAAGAACGAGAATGAAAAATATAATCGTTACGCTCCCACACAAGAAATAGATTTTCAAATATGGTAGCTTGATACAACGGACAACGGTCATACGTACTTTTTATTTTAATGAGTAAATAATGAGAAACAAACAGAGGCACAATAAATTATACTACAACATGACTTGTTCTAAAACATAAACTAATCTAGATATGGTCTCATTAATTACAATAATTAACAAGTCCAACTGAAAATAACAAAATAATCCAAATCAAGTTTATTTTACGACATTGACAAACTTGGATAGATTCTTAAGTGGGCATTACAAAGTTTATCGACTTATATATTGCTTAGTAGATCATACTAGTAAGTTAATTTTTTTTCACGGAATTGGAGAACACTTTAGGGAACGTTCCTTTCAAGACTTTGCGACGCCATTTGAAATACTCAATCATTTCATCTTTAGATGGTTGATATTCTTCCTTGATCGCAGGGTGTTCAAGAAAATTACTCATCCAGGCAGCAGTGGACGGAAATTTCACTGGATCGAAAATCTTCATCGAGGCAACTTCCTCCCATATAGGCAACATATAAGGAATCCATCCAATTATAATATCCACATAACCAATTCTATCCCCTCCAAAGAAATTCTTCCCTTTCAGGTTTTCTTCAATCTTTTCCAAAGCTTCAATGGATGATTTCACTGCTCCTTGCTGCTCATCGTCTTCTGAACACAAACCAGTCCATGCAGCTTTAACAAGCTATGTATACATGAAAATATGGACAGAATTAACCCATAAAAAGTGATGGTAAAAATTGGACAAGGATAAAATGTCTAAAGATAAGCAAAAGTACTCTTCTCTACCTTTTCTTCAGCAAATTTAGCCCAAAAGCGCGCAGTGGCTCTTTCGTAAGGATCTTGAGGCAGCAAAGGATTCTGCTTCCATACGTCGTCGATGTACTCTAGAATAATGAATGACTCTGGTAATGGTTTTCCACTGTGAACAAGGACAGGAACCTTTCCATGGACAGGATTCAGTTCTGAAAGTAAAGGGCTCTTGTTAAATATATCTTCTTCAATGTATTCATATTCAATGCCCTTCAGTTTTAGAGCCCACCTGACCCGATGAACAAATGGACTAACCCAGAATCCTACAAGTTTTACAGCACTATCCTTATCATTTTCCATTGTGGCTAGGGTTTTCTGAATCTCTCTCTGTGACTTTATATAAGATTTTTATTCCTACTAGATGGATACTATATAATTAAATATAAAGTTGTTTAAATGAATTTGGACTTGTCTTCAATTTCTTTGTTATTCAACAAAGCCGGCCCAGTTATTTTTTTATGCTGCCACTAATGTAATGGTAAACCATTTCCAGCCTAAAGCATACATTTCATTGATTTGGACCACTAATTTTTTCATTGTCATTCCCATTCAATTATTAATTAATAAAGAGACTATAGGAGAGATGAATAATAAATAATAGGTAAGAGCATAGCATATTGGACAATACGAAGAGATATAGCGTGATCGAAAAATATGCCTTCCACAAGAGACACGATCGCAATATATTTTATAATTTATAGAATTGAAGATAAATTAATAAAATGGTCACTCTTCCTTTCATTAGGACAGATCACAATAAAATATGTTAGAAACTTGAGGTGTTGACCAAATTAATGACCTCACACGGTTCTAAATGATTTGTTTTTATTAAATCAAAGAAATTTCCCCTCGCAACTTCCGGAGGTGAAGCCTCATCCGGCGTTTTTCCCACAGCAGTCAAAAGTGTTAGTCGAAAATTTGAGATTTGCTACACGTACATTAGAGTTATACACGAGCATACAAGTAGAATTTCCCCAGAAATTTTGTCTTTTGACAGAACTTGTAAGGGAATCAAAGGAGGGATTGTCCACTGCTTTTTTCATGGTTTGATAGATGGATCATGTTATATGTATCGAATTTTTTTTAACCTAATTCCTTACTGACTACTCACAATAGGGGAGTAGGGACCACATATGTTGGGATTTCTTTTTATTCATGCGGGTTCCATGTGTATGCGAGAGAGGGTAAACAATTTGGTATACTTTTGAGTGTACAAATGGAATTATACTTGATGATATAGGTAGGTCGGCCTTTAGCATTACAGAGAGTCCAACTTTCAACTTTAAAAATATGTTGGGTGTCATGAAAAGAGAGAAAAAGAGAAAAAAGAATGAGAGTCATTGTTTTATTAAAAACAAAAGTTCTATGTTTATAGGTAAGAATTAGGATACAACGATAATAATTACTGACGATGCCTATATTGATACACCCCAAGGAGTACACCCCGAGGACTCCATATATACCCCATCTCATCTCTCTGCCATGGTCCTCGGGGTCTCCCTAAGACCTCGAGGTATTTTTGACCTCGAGATACCTCGAGGACATATTAACATCCTCTCAAATCCTCGAGAAAAGTCCTCGGGACATATACCACCAACATACTTCCTAAGACCTGGGTATCTAACAAATAAACCTAAACACCCAAGGATTCTGTATCAACCCTTATACCACTTGTCAAACAATTCCATTACAAGTAGGGAACTCTTTATAAATAGAAATTCCCTTGGATAAAAAATCCAACCAACACAATCCTACTAGAAGTATACTACCTACCCCTATAAAAGCAGAACCTTGGGCCATTATTCAGGTACGTTTTTTCATTATTCTCCAACACATAGCCTCACGCATATAATTTCCTTTCTGACTTAAGCATCGGAGGGGCGACGAGAACACACCTCGTTGCCTTTGTTTCAGGTACCGGAAGATCACGTTTGTGCTCCCCATCAGTCATCAAGCTCGAAAAATCTACAGGTACGATTTTTGGTAGCATCATTGGCACCGTCTGTGGGAAACGCTACCAAAAGCCATGGTAAACACACGTTCAAATCTTCCATCAGCAAGCTCATCCGCTCCAAACCAACCCCTCCTGAGGATATCCCTGTTCCTCAAGAGGAATCATCAGAAGTGCCAGAGCCCCAGCCGGCAGTCGTCACTGCTGGAGCCTTTGAAGAGCTCAGACAACAGGTCACCACACTGACTCAGCTGCTAAGTCAAAGAAATTCACATCCGTCCCCCACACCAGCACCCCAGGGGGGTTTTATGGCTGATGCTCGAGCTCGAGCTCAAAGACATGTCCCTGACAATGGCGGAGTAGGGGCCTTAGGTATACCACATGTGACCTCGGCCTCGAGATCAGTGACCATGGAGTCCGGGGAACTCGCTAGGATTATTCAAGAAGGAATTGCGATGGGCCTACTTCAGGGCAACAAAGGGACGACAAGATTCAGTCCCAACACTTCTTTTACTCCTGAGATATTAACATTTTCCTTGCCAGACAGATTTAAGTATCCTAGGATCAAAGAATATGATGGGACCATCGATCCAATCAATCATCTGAATGTATACACGGACGTCATGAATCTGCAGGTCGCACTAGATCAGGTGATGTGCAAGGCCTTCCCGAAAACTTTGACGAATGCTGCTAGGGATTGGTTCTCAACCTTAGAGCCCAACTCCATAGCCTCATTCCCGGATTTGGCGGACAAGTTCTCTGCTTTCTTCGCAAGCAGTAAACGCATCAGGAAGACTGCGGCTTCCCTCATGCAACTTAGACAAGGGCAAAATGAGACCCTACGTGGCTTCATGACCAGGTTCAACAAGGAAAGACTTCAGATTCCCGACCTACACATAACTGCAGCAGTTTCTACCCTCACGTATGCCATAAAGTGCGAGGCTTTCAAGATTTCTTTATCCAAAACTCCGCCAAAGACAGTGATCGAGCTTCTTACCCGAGCCGAGAAATATATAAATATGGAGGAAACACTGAACCCGAGAAAGGTTGGACCACCCCATGACAGGGTCGAGCATAAGCGATAGCACTACCCGAACCCCCGTGAAGAACAACATCGAAAAAACGGAGACAGGAGGTTCCTCCGATGTCATTCACGCGTTTAAATACGTCAAAGGCCAATATATTGATGGAGATCAAGGATATGAAGGAACTCAAATGGCCTGTCAGAATGAGGTCACCACCCGAATCCAGGGACATGAACAAGTACTATGAGTTCCATCGGGATCATGGGCATACCACGGAGAACTATAAGGCCCTACAACGGGAGATTGAAACCCTTATTAAAAGGGGACTCTTGAGTTCCTACGTCGGTAACGACAAACGCCCGAGGAATGATTGTGGCAGGGAAAAAGCCCCTGAGGCAAAAAGGGATGGTCAACCCACTGCTGGAACCATCAATATCATCATTGGGGGTATTGCCTCGGGAGGAGACTCCAACAGTGAAAGAAAACAATATGCCCGATAATATGCCTTGGCCTCTGGGATGCCTCATGGAAAGCTGGAGGATATTACTTTTGGGACCGGGGACTTAGAAGGTGTATCACTTCCACATGATGACGCCTTGGTAATCTCAGCGATTGTGGCCAATTTTGAAGTAAAGAGAATCTTGGTTGACAACGGGAGTGCGGCCAATATACTTTCACAAGAAGCTTTTGCCAAAATAGGAATCTCATCTCAGAAGCTCAAAGCGGTTAAAACTCCTCTCCAGGGATTTGGGGGGAGGAGTCATCACTGCAGAGGGTGTCGTCGAGCTTCCACTAACTTTGGGTTCTAGCCAGAAACAGGTTATGGAGATGACATATTTTCAAGTGGTACATGTCTCAATGGCCTATAACGCTATTCTGGGAAGACCACTCCTGAACAAGATTAAAGCCATTGTGTCCACCTTCCACCTAGCCATGAAGTTTCCAACAAGTAATGGCGTTGGGGTCATCTGTGGAGACCAGACAGCTGCCAGGCAATGCTATGTTGCCAGCGTTCGAGAAATAAATAACGACGTCATGCAAATCTCAAGGACGGATCCCGAGGACGGGTAACAAGTCAGACTTGCTCCTGTCGAAGAATTGATGGAAATTGAGCTCGAGCATGATAAGAAGGTGACGATTGGTTGGGATCTCAACGTCACCCTAAAGACAGAACTTGTTGGTTGTTTATCTCGCAACATTGACGTTTTTGCCTGGAAGGTTGAGGATATGTCAGGGATAGACCCGAAAATTGCAGTCCATAGGTTTAACATTAGCCCAGGGGCTAGACCAGTAAAGCAGAGGAAAAGACAGTTTGCCCCAGAACGTCGGGAGGTCATCCGCGAAGAAATTAACAAACTCGTCAGTGCTCAGTTCATTCGTGAGGTCCAATAGCCCGATTGGCTTGCCAATGTTGTTTTAGTGAAGAAGGCCAATGGTAAGTGGAGGGTCTGCATTGACTTCACAGATCTTAATAAAGCATGTCCAAAGGATAGTTATCCCCTACCGCGGATTGACAACTTGGTGGATAGCATGTCTGGACATAAGCTATACAGCTTCTTAGATGTATTTTCTGGTTATCATCAAATCCTCATGGCCGAGGAAGATCAAGAAAAGACATCATTCATGGCCGATTCCACCATATACTGTTATAAGGTCATGCCTTTCGGTTTGAAGAATACAGGGGCAACATACTAAAGACTCATCAATAAAGTCTTTGCTAACTTGATTGGAAGGAATGTGGAGGCGTACGTTGATGAGATGGTGGTCAAGAGCAAACAGGTGGACCAGCATATTTCAGATCTTGAAGAGGTTTTTGACACCTTGCGAAAGTACGGAATGAAGTTGAACCCCGTAAAATGTGCATTTGGCGTGGCCTCGGGCAAGTTCTTGGGCTTTATGATCACTCACCGGGGGATAGAGGCCAACCCTGACAAAATACAAGCCTTGGCGTCTATGGAATCACCAAGGAACAAGAAAGAGGTACAGAGGTTGACTGGTAGGATAGCAGCCTTGAACAGGTTCATGTCCCGAGTATCAGACAGGTGCTATCCCCTCTTCAAAGTCCTCAGAGGAAACCAAGGCTTTGATTGGAGTGAAGACTGTGAGAAAGCTTTTCAGGAGCTCAAGCAGACATTGGCATCTCCTCCTATTCTCACTAGACCTGAGCCTGGTGACACCTTATTTTTGTACCTGGCCGTATCTCAAAACGCGGTCAACGGGGTCTTGGTGAAAGAGGTTAACAAAATCCAACAACCTATCTACTATGTAAGCAAGGTCCTACTAGATGCGGAAACAAGGTATACTTTGGCGGAACAACTTGCCCTTGCCTTGGTTATAGC